AAGAATAGGTCCAAGAGCCCTTTTTCTCTGCACTGGTCTTCTCAAAATGGCAGTAACACCAGTGCCCAGTGCTGATAGTTTAGATGTCAGAATTGAGACATTTTTCATTATTTATGTAGAAAGAAGCACATATATTGAATACATGTAATTTTTTGTAAGTACTGCCTTTGTAGGCCTAGTGCAGGGAAATTAAGCTATTCTTGTACTACCACATTCATTAGCCGTGACCCAACAATAAATGGTTGCTTCTCATTTGTTAGTTTGACAAAGTAGCACACATTACAGGGGTAACTTTCTTATGCACAGAACTCAAGAGAAGTATTTTAACACATAGAGTTTCTTATGTGTTAGCTAAAATATATCAAAACCATTTTTATCCTCACAGCAAACATGGAATTTTAGAGAGACAAATAACTGTCATCCAGTCTCAAAAATTCAATCACATTTTTACTATCTCCCCAGCTTTTGAAGGAGATCACACTTTAGCACATTGCACTCCACTGGATGTTTATTTTACAGTTTAGCTTCAAATGCCAAATTGATTTTTTGTAACCTGCTCTCAATATTACCCCAGCAATGGTAAGCGGCAGTAGGGAGAAGCTGCCTCAGCAGCAAGGGCATCATAACTACAGAGGGGCTACTTGTCCCTTTCTCTTTTTCAGTCAGCCTTGCTTGGATGCAGTAAGTAGTACTCCTTTCTTTCTCTGTCACCAAGGCAGGATACAGCTAATTAATTCCAGAAAAAGTATGTGATCGGAAATGAGCAGTGGTGAGAGGTCGTGCACTGTGGAATGGAGTTTCACAATGATGCATTAAAGAAAGATCAGAAGTAAACTGCCTTTTTATTTTATATTACTGAATATCTCTTCTAAGTTTATATTCATTAAAAAGAAACCACCCTATTTATATAACTCAATTAAAATAGGAAGTAAGAACGTGAAGAAAATTACTGTATTAAAGTTCTTTCTTCTCCTACGAAATATGAAAGTAGGAAAATCGAAATACTATGCTACCATCTATTAGGAAGACCACTTAAACTACTTTGACCTGTTATTTGTCAGTCACTTGAAAGGCACTCAAAAGAATAGCACTTTTCCCTTGCACAGCTGCAATGTACCATACAGCCCACACTGACTGACAAGGTACTTAAATGACAAGCTTTTCATGACGCCAGAGAAACAAAAACCCGTAAATGTCAATTTCCCTGTTAGTTTTAAGACTAAAAGCCATAAATGAAAGCAATATTCCTAATATCACAAACACTGAAGGAGCAGTTCTGCGTCAGAGGTGGTTTAACAAAACCCATGAACTCAAGAAGCTCCTCTGGAGCCCAGATGGCAGGGACAGCTACAGGACTGTCAGCACCAACTGTTGAATGAAATCTATGATGTGCTGCAAATTCCAGAAACTAAGTCTCATATCTGCTGCAAGGAGTTAAATCAGATATGAATATAACTCCCCATGTCTAAGAAGAGCTGAAATAATGATGTGAGGTGTAAAGAACACTTGAAAAGTATAAAAGAAGCTGAGTAAAACTCCTTTGGTCCTTGTAATAGAGGATATACTGAAAACTCAACCAGTACTACCAAGGACACAACATGAAGATCTCAAGTAATGAACCTTGAATCCCCACAGTAGAAATGGCCTCACTGTAGCACCTGTGGCTGAGTATGGACACCTAAAGTCTATTTACTGCACTTCAATCCAGAGTCTTACTCTGGTTGAATATATGCCAAATCAGTCAAATTTTACTGTCTTCTATACCAGGAGTATGTCACAGAGTCAGTTACACTGAAAAGTGTGCTTTATGTGTATAGCTTGGTGTATACCAGTCTGCAGAATCAGGCATTTTGTTTGCAGATAGGCATTTTCCTTTTCACTAGAGAGTTAACATTGTGAATGTTAACACTGCTATGGTTAAAAAAAAAAAACCAAAAAGGATTGTAAATGTGATTTCTACAATCAGTATTTTTTTGTGGCTCAGTTTGTTTGTTTGTTTCTTGGAAAAGGAATATCCTTATCATCTAAATCATTGTTTCCGAAACAAATTGCAGTCTTGTATGTATTTGAAGTAAATAATTTAAAAGCTTAAAAGCAGCAACAACAACAACAAAAATAGTGTGAAATGAATGGCTAACATTTTCAAGCTATTTGAATAAAGTTGCTGCCAGCTTGTTGGTGGTCTACATAAAACTCCCACATCCCAATCTTTCCATTCTTTTCTGCTTGATTAATTAGAGAAACTATGGAGAGGTGGTAATTTTGCAGCAATTGATGTTCTCTTATAAGTAAATCAACCTGGTATACATCTCCCATAAAGCATTAGTTCATGAAATGTTCATAAAAATCAACCTAAGTGTCAATTGGAAAATCACAAATTAATTTAAATTACAAATTTAATATTTAGATGGATGTCTTTGGTAATAATAAAAACACTGGGCTTTTTAACTTCACAGAAATACAGCATCATAAATTTACTCTGAGCATCATATATTAAAATGATGCTATACAAATAGGCATGACAGTTAAATAAGGTTTTAGCATAAGGGTGTTTAAATGAATAGGTAATATTTTAATATGTCAGTCAATACACCATGAAGAAAAGAAAGCTCAGTTTAATCAGGTTGGTCATTTGTGGCATAGGTAGGAAAAGGATTAGCATGTAAAGTAAGTTAAGGCTGCCCAAATCTTTGTGTGGGTTTTACACAGGTATTCACTTTCATCTCAATAAAAGAATTAGTGTAACCAGTGCTGGTTTACATGGCGCTTTGCTGCTTATGGCACAAGAGAGCTTATCAAGAACACTGCTGTGTTGACATATAAAGGTCAGGCACAGTTCACAGAGAACTGGGGAAAAATTAATGCAGAGAGGTCTCTAAACCATTAGCAAAAAATAAATGGGACTTAGTACATATTTCAAACTTCCCCAGCTGGAAATATTTTCTGTCTCCTTGGAAGATGAACCAGAAAGTGAGAAGAAAAGAGGTCACAAGGGCCAGGGACATGCCAAATCTCCATGTAATTTCATAACCGCAGAACTGAAGTAGATGGTATGTATTTATAAAACAAACTGACTGTTGCATAGCACATTCACAACAGTAAGTGTGCTCATATTGTAAATACTGCACTTCGTAAGTCCTGAGGACTGCCAGCCCAAAGTGCTGGAATGGCACATCCACTGTCCTTAGTACTGTGCTTTGCTTCAATTTGATAGGAAAAGAATAATAAAATATTTTCTTTGTTTTGGGGAGAAAGTAACAATAACCTTAAGTACAAATTATTTTTGTAGACAATCCTTTGAAAACTAAACCAGACAAAAATCACCATTTGATAATCCCTAAAAGATATTTCCCTTTTATGTATTCTTATGCTGAAGTACCTTCTAAAATCATCTGAAAACTGGGATTTTTTGAATCAATCTTGAAAATCATCAGTGATTCCACTACAAGTTTCCAGTTATTTTCTTTTTTTTCCGGTTACTTGCTTTTCTACTGTAAAATATGTTAACAGGAAAAAGAAGTAGCTGCACTCTGCTCATTCAATGGAAATTATCAGCTTGTGCATATTTATTGTGTTATTGGCCCTGCGTTTGCTGAAAGTATGCAGACCCCTATACATTCCAGACAATCAGATACAAAAAGTGTATTTAGAATATCCCATTCTGGAACATTTTATAATAGAGTTTTATCATAGAGCTATGAGGGATTCTTGGAAGACAGTGAAGAAATTGATTTTTTTACTTTTTTAAGGCTCCAAAATGGAGAACATTATTTAGCAGAAACTGTAAAAACTTAAAAGTTCAGAAATCTATTGAAATCTACTACAAGGATTATAATGATTCCAAACCAATAGGCACAAATGGGATAGTAATAATTTCCAAAAGTTAGCATGCTGAAGAAAGCCACTGAGTCTAGCAAAGGACATGTTTTGTGCTGTCAATGCAACACATAAAAATTCAAACTCATCTAATGACAACAGCAATGTCTTTCAGCAGCACTCACTGCTGGTATTCAAGCTGAGTACAATGTCATCTGTATTTTTATCCTGAAGATAATATCATTGGAAATGTATGCAAAAGTATGGCAACTTCTCTTCTTCTACACTTTATTCTTTTCAGTGAGAATATAGGAGCGGCCTTTTTAAAGTCTCACATGCTATTACATGTAACGACACTGAAGCACTGAGCTACATCAAGGACATGAAGTTGTAATTAACTACTTTACCTTGAAAGACAAATTTAAACACTTGAACATGTGCCAAATTTGAAAGCCTACCCCTAACCTAAAGCATGGTAAAGTCTCCTACAAAACTTAAGCCTCTCACAAATCAAACCTCGTTGACAAACACTGATTTATGAGAAAGGACTCTCATTCCCCAGTAGTACAACCAGTGAAATTCAGCAACACAAAGAAACATTCCTCCAAAACTTAACACTACTGTGCATTCAAGTCAAACATCATTCTCTCATTCTAGAATAGAAACCAAGCTTGACAGACCGACTAACTTTCTGTCCCAGCAGAAGTGAACTTTCCCTTGACTTTACATGCAGCAGCTAGGCTGGAAAGATTAAGATTCCCAACTGCACAGCCACTTAATCCTTCCTTGTCTCATTCCATAATATTCACAATCAAGACATGAACTGAGGTCTTTCTGTGTCCTTAACAACTGCTCCAAGCTTTCTTATAAGCATCCCTAATTACAACTTTTTAATACACACGTATTTGCACACGTGGTACATAGTACCAGGTTAATCATTAAGTTCTTAAAATTTAAAGCTGAGTATTGGAGCTCTAGTCTGCAATGTGTTCCTTATGTGAGCTGGAAATAATGGAGATAAGCGAGTGAAATTTTCAGAATCCTTTGAATTACTCTTCTGAGTTATGATCAGCAAGAAAAAGAAAAAGTAGAAATGTATATATACATGTAGGTAAATAGGTAACATTAGACATATCATTTCCATATACTCCAAAACCTTGAAACAAACACACACAAAATCTTACCCTTGTCAACGTCAGTGTTCCTTGTTTACACTCACTGCAGCGGACCCTGAGTTTCCCAGGTTTCACAGATTGGCAGATACTTTTGCAAAAAACATAGAAGCTGTTGTAACTAGACACACCTGTCCGGAGGAAAAAAAAAAAAACAAAACAAAAAATGAACTAAGATTTTGATATATACTGAAAATCAGCAACAAGCTGTTCTGAGAGGTTTCTATTTGATTCGCAAGTGATAAGTAAAATTAGAAAAAGTTGACTAATTTTCAGGCCTGAAAATAGCTTTGTGATCAACTTATCTTACCTGGTCTAGTTCCTAACACTTTCAGTAACTCCTGCTTCTGGATCAGTAGTTACGGGTGAACTACAACGTTACTCCTAGAAAATGTATCCTGTATTGAGTTTGAGCTTATCACTGATGAGCACCAACTGTAATCTTTGGCAAGTCATGTATGATATTAGTTATCTCAGCTCTCCATAATTTGCATCTTCCTTCTAGTCTAAATTTGTCTAGCTGCAAGTTTTACTGAGTTCAAATTGCATGAAAATTTCCTTGGACAAAGTTTAAGAGCTTGAGATTGGTTTGACTGGTATCACAGCAAGAAAACAAATATTTAATTCAGGAATTTTAGTTTTATTAATGGAAGACTGAAAACCATTTCTTTATTCTTCCTGGCAGCCGTATAACATAGCAAAGTTTGTAGACTGCTGCCAAGATATTAGGCCAAGTAAATTCTCAAGGAAAAATAAATGAAACACATTCTGTTCTGTGAAACTATGGAACAGAAGATGATATGCAGAGAATTGTGTAAGCCTGGGGCAATGCTAATGAATTTAATTTCACATGCAATCCTGATCACTGTTTTGAGTAGATCACTTTTTAGAATGGCTAGTGCTATTCCTTAGAAAACAACAGAAGATTCACTGCATGGTTTTAATCTAGACTACGCATCTCCAAATTCAGAGATTCAAGTTTACTACCTGAACTTGACCTGGGACCAGAATAATTTTTTTAACAATTTTTTTCCGCATATCAAAAGAAATGGTTGTGGAGATTTGACACATGAAGATTGGTGAACTTCATAATCAACAGCATCCCTTTAGAGATCAAAGGTTTTTCACTTTCTTCTTCCCCATTCTCCTACTTCTCCCTATATTTATCAGCGATATACTTTTAGCATATATTTGAATCCCATCATGTTACCACAGTAGATGTAGAATACTAGTTTAAAGCATGATGGACTTGCTTTATTGTTACATGTTCTTCACATGATAAGGGTCTGACCCTGTGTTTTACCACAGAAAATACCTATCAATTTCATGTTACACCTCTTCATAGGTGTGCCACAACAAATGTGCAACTAGTTTCCAAAACTCAACTTCAGAGAACCACCTCATCCAAAAAAATTTTTTTTCTAAGAAAAAGTATGTAAGTGACTTCAAAGAAGATGCACACTGCTGAAAGAATAAATCTTGTAACACTTTTTCAAGTATTTGGAAACATAAATTACATAGGAGTACATCAGTGATGTATCCAGTATTAAGTTAGTTAACTGATCTATCAAGTGTTTTCAGTAGGCCTCCCCGGGGACTATTAATGATCAGAGCAGAACATAAAACAAAACAGAATTTAAACTGAATTCAGGTTTTGTGGAAAATTAAAATACGTCTATACATTCACATACATAAATTTTTCATCTAAGTACAATTCAAAAGGTTGAAAGCACACTTCTCAAAGCAGTCAAAACCACAGTTCTGAGATTAAAATAGTTATGCTAAAGTATTTAATATATGGTACAATGTTGAGAGGTGAATCCAAACAAAAGATGACATTTGGATCTCTAGTCATTCATATTTTGCCTGAGGCTCCTAAAAGAGGATTTATTGCACATCTGGATTAGACTCTATTTAGCTAGAATCCAGAACAAAAATGTAAGCTACAGTAGTGCAAATGAGGACAAATACACTTGCAAATGATTGAATTTTATCTTTGGTGGTTCTTATATACAGGATAAGCAGGTCAGTCAATAAAACAAAAGGGTAGTACCTATAGCACAGTTCAAAGGAAATGCTACATAGAATCATAGAATCATAGAATCATAGAAGAGTTAGGGTTGGAAAGGACCTTAAGATCATCTAGTTCCAACCCCCCCTGCTATGGGCAGGAACACCTCACACTAAACCATGCCACCCAAGGCTTCGTCCAACCTGGTCCAACACCGCCAGGGATGGAGCATTCACAACCTCCCTGGGCAACCCATTCCAGTGCCTCACCATCCTTACAGTAAAGAATTTCTTCCTTATATCCAAACTTCTCCTGTTTAAGTTTTAACCCGTTACCCCTTGTCCTCTCACTACAGTCCCTAATGAATAGTCCATCCCCAGTATCCCTATAGCCCCCCTTAAGCAAGAATGCTACTTCTAGTAAAGACCTACAATAAACAAGATTATTTCAGCCAATTATTCCTGACTCGGTCTCAAGTGCAGTAAGTGAGACCAGAGCCCTTTACCTATTTTGGTATCACCAGTCCTCTCCCATTGCTGCAATTTCTTATGCAGGCAGTCTAATGAGACTGATGTCTGCTTGTATTAACCTGAGTAGATCTGTCTGCCAACACTCACTGTTCTAATTTGGCCCTGCTCACCTGCCATGACCCTAATGACCCTTCCAGTCAAACAGAACCATGCTATCGAGTACATAAGCCCTTACAGAATAAAATATTTTGTTAGTTGAGCTGACACTTTTCCAGATCCAGGCCCCCAATCACTGATGTCTCACACCCCATCTCACATTTTATACCAAGTTTATTTCAAGCAGTAAACTACTTGAGGAAGGAATCATGCTTTCTGCCTGCTTTGTGCTCTAAATTCATTCTATCTGGACCAAGAGATAGAATTATATTATTGATAATACTCTGCAAAATATTCATAGGATAGTGTAGCATAAATCAGTATGACTGAATACTGCAGTAAAAAACAGCAGTCATAGGAGATGCCTAAAATGAGTCATTGCTGATTTACTATAGAGGATAAATCATATGCATTAACTTGATAGTTACACCATGCAAAAACAGACTATGTTAGCTCAATACTCATTTTTCCTAGCACTTCTTTTTTTTTTTTTTTTTGTCAATTTTCATGAATATAAAAAGTGCCCCAAACTTTAGCAGGAAGGTGTAAATGGAGATTTTGAACAAATCATTCACCATTTTATGCAGATATGCTGATTTCATTCCCACAAAGTGCAGTTACATCATTAGGTGTATATACTGAGCAGCATCACCAGGAGTAGTGAATACTGAATTAAAAATGCAAATGCTGAAAGTCAGCATACAGTACTATACTGATGGCCAGCATTAAACTCTCTACTAACTTGTTAATGTTACTGCGTATTTTAGCATGGCCCTTGGCTGCGACATCATCCCCTTGAATTTCTTTTTCAGAGAGGAACTGAAAGAAACAGGAACAGAGAAATCTGCTTTATGCATCAGGTCTGACATAGCAATATCAACAAGAAATGTAACTACGGCACCGTGCCAGGAATCACTGAAATTACTACATAACCATCCTTAGAACCTTGTCTTTCCTCACTCAGTCATGGTCTATAACATTTCATGAAGCTTCCCATTAATATTTTATAATATTTGCACTGGGCAAGAATGTGCAGGCAAAGCAAATTACAAGTTGAAAAAAACAGAATTCCCTTTATAAATGCTGATTCTGATACTTAACATGAGCATTAACACCATAAATAAATAGATTATAACTACTAGTCTTTTTTTGCAAAAAAGTAAAAAAGATGCCATGAGAAATTTGACCTTACAAACCTGAGTTTCTCATAGGTCCAAAAGCATTTTCAACATATGATCATCAGCTTTTTAAGAAGCCATCTCCCATAAGTCAAGCTTCAGATAAATCTGACTTGGAAACACAGAAATAAAATCTCTTTCATTTCATTGACACTTGATGAATTAGCAGCCAAATAAATAATTTCAGTCTGCATTGTTGACTTCCTCTCTTAACTTGTTTCAATATAGCAAAACGCATTTAATGCACAACAACCTGGCAATACTGGACTACCTTAACTACTCTTTGCATTTGGTGACAACACTTACGGGACTGAATCTTTCAGGGAAAGCAAGTGAATGTCTCCTGTCTGAAGAGAAATGCCTCGCCTACCTACAGTCATAGAGAATTCACAACCTCCTTCCTCAGGTCATCTGTGTTAGTATTTTAATATCTTTGTCTATAAGAAGGTACTTTCATTTCTAATTTTCTGTGCTGAAATTTAACAATTACATTCTCTACTTTCCACCATATATATGGAAGCCAATTAATTTTCTTTCTCTTTAGAGCAGGCTTTTGTATTGGGTAGATATATTTTTATATATTAGATACATTTTTGCATAGATTAGTCAACCCTAATACAGTCATTCCATTCTTACATGTAATACTCCCTAGAGCTCAAAATATTCCACTTAGATTTTTCTTTAAATTGTTCTAGGTGCAGCTCCCTAAGCTTGTCATAATTTTCCAGCTGAAGACTTTGCCATGCTGAGCATAATAGGGTTCTTGGTCTCAATCTTTTTTTTCTTTTTTTTTTTTTTTTTTTAAGATCTTGAAGATTATACTTCTGTTTATCTGTTTCTGTATATTATTTTGCTTAACATTATGGGTGTAACTGTTCCTGGTTACTGTTCAGTCTATGATCTAAAATTAACCTCCAAACCCCTGTCTACTTTACTTGTAGTCCATTCTGTATTTGTGTTGCTAAATACTGCCAGCCAAGTGCAATACCTTATGCTGGCCTCTTCTGGGCAAAATGATGCTTTTTTCTAGACTATGTTTCCAACTTGTTGCGATCATTTTACAATCCCAGGATGTCCTCCCATTTATCTGCAGTCCCTCCTAGCTTGGTGATGTCTACAGCTTTAGTAAGTATTGTGTCAATTCCATCCCTCCTTTTTGATGATGAACTGCTAATAACTTCCCCAGCTACAGGTTAGTAGACCAAGTCCACAGCAGCCCTAGTGTATTTTTATGTCTGGACTCCCATTTTGCTAATGACAGTATCATGCTAAATTATGAAAAACCTTATAAAGACGAATATATGAAATCTATTGCT